GAGAGAGAGTGAGTAAGAGGAAAAGGAAAAGAAGAAAATTAGCTTTAAAACACGTACATGAAACTTCCTTTAACAAATTCTTCAAATATGTCTCTCTCTCTCTCTCTCTCTTTTTCTTTATTTCTTTCTCTTATAGTATTTTCAAGACACCATTATATGTACACACACATACATTTATATTGAATCTTTTCTCCTCCCTCTTTCCCTCTTTATAAACACACACACGTGTTGTAAGTATATGGTATAATACCTACAATAGTGCGAAACTGCCGAGGGCAATCGAAATATCACGAACAGCTGCGAATCCCTTCTTCCGACCACGAGAAATGCCATAAAATCGTACGTGAACAAAACTATATAGCGTGACATCGTAAAATGTAGCTGTGAACAGAATTGTCTCTCTGTTTTCCCAACCTGCAATCTTTCTCTCTTTCTCACACTCTTTCCTTCATTGTTTCTGCATTGTTCGTTTTCTAATCAAACTTCAAATCATTTTAACAATAATTACATTTAACATGAAAAAAGTATACACGAGTAATTGGGAAAAATTTGTTAAAATTACATTTTCCACGGTTTAATATAAATGAAATAAAATTGGAAGAAAATTGAAAGCAAAAAATAAAAAATATATAGACGAATATAACAGTCGAAATAAGTGGTAGGTATAATAAAAAAAGAAAGAAAAAAAGAAGAGAAGAGAAGTGGGTGTCCCGGAAAAAGTGCATTTTTAGTTATAATGAAAAAAGAGAGAAAATAAAAATAGGGAAAGGGTTATATAAGGCTCGATCGATTAAAAAGGTTGGTTGGCTGATTGTGATGTGGTGTGGGAGTAAACGTAATCGGAAGACGAGTTAAACGCTCGCACCATTACTCGCATCGTATCGCATCGGGGGCTTCACGTTAACGCCACAGGTATATGATGGTATAGAAGGTTACCGGCACCTAAAAGGTCTTTGTTCTCTCCGCGGTTGGGGCTTTTACATGCTTCCACGTGCGGATCCATGAAATAATAGGATGGCCCTACTAATACCACTGACGACTACACAACTATGACAACGACGTAGACGTAAACGTAGACGTAAACGTAGACGTAAACGTAGGACATCTATCTTTACGTCTTTACAGTTCTATAGTCCTTGTTGAGTTCATCGTATATGTGATATATTAGGTATGTGTGTATTAGTACGTAAATACATTGTGCAGGTAAACGCATCCCTTCTATCGACACTTTCAGTTCCGGTCGAGCAAAGCTAGGTGTAGTAGGGTGCTTACCACCCCTTACAGCTTATACTACTCGTGAGTTTAATTATTCATATAGTAATTTCGTGCCATTGTCAGGGCTCTAATGGTCGTTGGCTTTTAATAAAGGTACTTCTATCCTCCTACTCTATCTATCTACCTTCCCTACCTACCCCCCTTCTGGATTTTCATTGTCACCTTCTCTACTCTTCTTCTTCCTTTATTCGTTTTACTCTTTCTTGGCTCATCTTTTGTTTTAGATTGGTAAGTCTCTTTTTTTTTATTTTAAGATCATTTTGCGATTTTGTTATAAAGAATAATTATAATTTATACGTATAACGTAACTTTCAAATACCCTTAAACCAGTATTTTAATAATCATTTCCTGTAAATTTAAAATAGGGGAAACTCTGGTGGGTACTTGGATTCTAAAAGTGGATTGTTAATTATTTAGGTTCCTTAGCTAAGATTCTACCATTTAAGCTTATTTAATCTTACTTACATTACTTAGTTAATAATTTTAAGGATTCCTTATTAGCTATTCGCTTCGTTATTTTATACTCTATAAAATTAAACGATTAAGGAAATAAAATGAATCGTTGGAGAATTATTAAAAGATTTTTATGGGTTGTAACAATTGTGAAATAAAAATCATCAAGGCTAAATCTTTCGATGCATCGAATTGAATTTAGTTCGAATTCTATCTAAATTTCATGAGAATCGTAAGGCGTTATGTACACGTATAGAAAGATTGAAACTACTCGAGATTTTACGATCACGCGACTCAACCTAGAAGTCGGGTGGTGGTGGTTTCCTAGTGACACCGGCAATTTATTTCAGCATCGAAAGACGCAAAACCTCTGGCCGGTTTAACGGATAACGATTATGGCTGGCGCGTTTTTCCGTTTCGGTAGCGATTTACGAGCGTACCTTGTCGAACCTTAGTAAGAAAGAGAGAGAGAAAGATAAAAAGAGAGAAAATGATAGAGAAGAAGAAGAAGAAGAAGAAAAAGAGACGAAACGAGATTATAGGAGAACTTGGATTTTCTACGTCGGGGATATTTTTATCGTTCTCGAACTGTCGACGCTTTTGATGTTGAATGGAAAATGGTCGATCCCTAGAAATGTTTCTCTATATGAAACGCTCGATATGTTCTTTAGGAAGTGAGACTTATCGCACAATAAAATATACCCTATTAACTATCCTAACAGTAGGACGTTCCCTTCTAACATCGTTGATATATTATATTCCACGGAACGAATGTAAATGGTATATTCATAGTAAATATTTCCGTATATATTGTAATTTCATTCATAAAATTTTCGTAATATAAATATTTTAAAATGATAGGTGTAAGTTGTTGTCGAGAAAATTGGAAAGATTTTATAGTAGATAGGTTAATGCGTATCGTATGTATGCGAAGAAAAGAAATATAAGAAGTAGAAAAATATTAAAATTAACATTGACGGAAAATAAGTTGAAAAAAATAAATAATTATTCGAACGAATTTAATATCGTATTAATAATTGATATATATATGGGCCGCGTATTTTGAAAGTGGCCCATCTCCATTTTAAAAACAAATCGAATTAGCTACCGTAATAGTTACATTTTTGCATGATCTTTTCATTCTGAAGTAATTTGTTACAAATATATTTAAAATCATGAAGATATTGTAACAAGAAAATTTACCGATCAACAGAATGATGAAAAGTTTATTTTGCAAGTGGCTTATCTCCATTCGTCATTTATTATTTTCCGGTTGCACCTGGTTATTGTACAACTTTATGTTATGTAACAATAAAGCATTTGATTTTGCATATATCCCAAGTAAATACGATGATACTTTATTATTGTTAGTAAGTTAACGCAATAGTTGAGAGAGCTCGCACTTCCACGTATTACTCGAACGACGTACAGATGAAGAATAAAAAAGAACGAAGGGAAGACAAAAGGGACCCAAGACAAAAGAATGCCCAACCAAGCCAGAAGGGCGCCCCCACATCATTACCCTGTTGATAAGTTATGCACGGACCGCATATCGCCGTGTGCACCGGCACACCCATTACCGGCAATTATAAATAAAATGAAACAAAAAGATTTTGTAGTAACGAAATTATTATAAGACTCAATTTTTAAAAGGGTAAAGAATTCTGAGGAAGAATCAATAAACTGGTTAAAAATATGTTTGATGCGTTTTTTTAGAAATAAACCATATAAAATTTTCTATAAGACATCAATGAATGAGAATGATAATATAAAAGTCCTGAATTTATTTTAAAATGTAGATGTGTAGTAAATTGCTTTGTAGGTTAGTTTGTAATCTTGTACATTATGTAGTTAAAAAATGTTTTCTACGTTATGTAGTTAAAGTATGTTTCTAAAATGTTTAAAAAAGATATATAAAATAAATTGAGTCTTGTTTTTTTCAATTTGAAGCATATTAAATTGTGTTGAATGGAGTTAGGTCTCTTCGAAATATTATAATAAATGAAATTGTTAATTTTAACAATGGATTAACTCCATTCTTGGTTAGAAAACGCATATTATTCACTTAATAATTGCCACTATTTTAATAAGAAATATGAATTTAAAGCCTTTAGATACACTAAGCAGTATAACTCGTTAGTATCTTGTACGTATATTTTTCATTACATTGAAACACAAACCCTTCAATATCTCGATTCGAACATAAATAGAGGTAGGCCACTATCAAAATAGGCGACTCATGTAATTAAACTTTTTAGGTGAAACTAATCTTACATTTATTTCATTATTTTTCCATATAACATATTGTATATAATCTTCTCCAGTGAATACACACGCATACACGCGGCAAAATGTTGATACTTATCTAATATTTTTCGTTCTTTACCATCACACGAAGAAGTCTAACGATGTAAATAAATTCGCAGTACACGCACAACACCGAATAAACTTTCAAACAAAGATAAAGATAAACGTATTTATAAGTTCGAAGACGAAATTCTTAATAGAATAAAAATAAAACATTTTGGATTATAGACACTGAATGAGGAGAAGTAAAAGGTATGTTGACAGACAAAATATTAAATGATCGAAATACCGTTCTTTTGATTATTTCAAAATAACCTTGCCTTTCTCTTCGCAATTCTTATTCTTCTCTCTTCTGACGAAATGTATTCAGATCTTTAACCAATTTGCATACTACACATTTCTCTATATTGTTTAACTATTTATTTACCCTTAGGAAAATATTTTATATTACCGTTTTAATGATGCTTTAATAAAAAATATTTCAATATTTATTACCACTAAAAGTCTTTTTTCTTATATATTAGGTTTAATAAAAGGATGATTATCTTATTAACAAAATCTTAACCTATGCGTACTTTATTGTTATAATAGTAACAACCCCTCATAATGTTTACAGATTTATAGTTATTGTTATGACACGCTACCTTCTCCATACTTACTATTACCAGTTATACTAGTGATTCACGCGCAGTAGCCCAACTGCGAGGCTAGTTAGAAAAAATGCAAGTATTTCGAGTAAATGGCAAATAATATCATTTTTTAGCAGTTAAGACAAGTAATCATTAAAACAAAATTCTAGTGGTTTCCATAAAAAGAGGCAACTAATCAAGGCTACATGTAATATATCGATTTCCAAAAACTCATTAGATTATGTTCAAAGATTGTTAACGTGACTTAACGAATCCGCAGAGTCTAATAAACTCAAAAAACGTTAGAAAAATAAAATGTTTGAATAAATTATGACAATGAGACAAATGACAAGTAGACTACAGGTCCATGCTAAAAAATCTATGGGTCATTTGACCCACTGGGAAACCTATTTGGAAAGATGCAGGAGCATAAAATAATAACATTCAGCATTATGCCGTCACTTGTAAGCTGTCTAACTAAGTGCAGGTGAGAATTCTAAAGCATAGGTAGAGGGGATCCTTTTTGTCATATATTTTTGTACGGCATTCTTACCACCGATAGATACATCGAAAATAATGAGAAAACACGTAGTGCCGTACACATAGTGCGCCATAAAGTCGGAAAAATTTTTGATTTTCCAGCGATTTTCTGGGTAAATTTGGTACTATCATTTTGTATGGCGTCGGTTCCATACAATTTCAATACCTCTTCTAATTTATTATTCTGCAACGCCGTATATAAAACATGCGACAAGGAAGAAAAATCGAGGGTTGCAACCTCCCCCTCTTTAGTGGTCCTGGTGGGTGATTTGACACAACATAAAATTAATTTATTGTGAAAGTATTTTATGCATAGATATTCCTTATATATATACAACTATATATATATATATAGTTGTATATATATATAGTTGTATATATATATAGTTGTATATATATATATATATATATATATATATATATATATAAGAATCCTTATATATATAATTCTTCTGTGTGTGTGTTTGTTCCTAAATTCCTCCGAAACGGATGGACCGATTTTAATGAAATTTTTTGTGTGTCTTCAGGTGGATTCGAAAATGGTTTAGATTTGCAATTCGGTTCAATTTAAATTGTTTATTTATATATTTCTTATTTATAAATTGTTATACAACAAGTTTATAGGTTGAAGTTAGTCGATATTCGAGTTATAGAGAATATTCGGGTCGATAATCGAAGTTTTCACATTCAAGAAAATATTTTGTAATTTCGTGTTATTATTGTGTTACAAAAAATCGTGTGCTAATTGAAATATTACATTAAAATCTAATTAGTGTTTGAAGAGTTTTGAAATGTGGACAAAAAACTATACATTTTGCAAATTTAGTGCGGAATTGAAGTGAGTATTTTATATAATTTTCTTTCAAATTTACACGTACGTTGATTAACAACCACCCTAACCTACAAATTTATTTGTGTAGCTAATTGATTTCATAACAAATTTTTTCAATTGTTTTTATTTAAATTAATCCTTTTTGGAGATATTAAATAAAAAAGAAAGCAAAAAAATAAAAGTACACATTTTTTATCTAAAATTTGGTACAGTAAATCTTTTCAGTCCTTTTACTTAATTAAAATTTCATCTTTAATAAATTACTTATATTCGTTATGTACTATTTTACAGTATTTTTTTTTTTTTTTTTTTACAGAAAAATGCCACATCTTCGTGGAAGAGCAAGAAATATTGGTTGACGTACTCGAAACGCACAATTGGTCCATGATCGTCAATTGAATAGAACAGTTGAAGAACACTCGACAGATAATGTAAATTTAAGATATCAAGTTGCATGTACACGTGCAACTGAAAATTCAGAGCAACGCAATCAACGTCTTCGTGCTAATACATTAAGACAACGAAAGGCACGTCAACGGGCGACCAACGCACACACAGAATGTAACCAACGGCAAATGCAAGATAATCGAGCATTGACACGAGCATCACTTCACTCATAGCATACATATACTCACACGCTATCGATTGGTCGTATTGTGATAAATGTACATGTAATGACGTTAGATATTGTAATTTTATTTTTTAATAAAAATTTTCATCAAAACAGACCAGATTGCTACAGCTTATTCAAAAAAGTTCGAAATTTTCGAATTAAAGACGTGTGTACAGGACAACGTCTGTCGAGTCCGCTAGTATATATATATATACAAATATCAATACAATAATAAATTTTACTCTTAGCTAATCTATAGATATGTAAATAAGCACTTATACACTTCGCATTCTAATCTCTTGATCCGGTCACCGACTCGTTCAGCGTCGAAATTCCATTTCGTCCACTTGTGTTGAAGGCGTCCTTAACACTTGGACGTGTACGTCCACTTGATATGTGGACAAAGTACGGTCTTAGATTTGCTTAAATAGGCTCCCCGTTTCTTCTTACTTTCCCAGTTTCTGTTTAGACGCGAAGAATAAAAGAACTCTCTTCCAAGTGTTCACTATAAATCTTTCACACACTTACAAACGGAGGCAATTAGTATTTTTAAAATAATTTAACTATTTCTGTTATTTTTTTGTTTTTTCAAGTAATCATGGGACAAATTACGACTGTTATTGCTTTAATAGCAATATTAATTATATTATTGTACGTAATTAAATATTTAATAGAAAAATTTCGTGAAATAAATATGGTGAAGAATTGTCCAGGCCCTAAGGCTTATCCAATAATAGGAAATCTGAATATGATTCTTGGTGATTCGAACGGTAAATTTTTATTTAATATTTATAATATCTACATTTATGCGATCGCTATTAAATAAATTTTTGTTAGATATATCACGTAAATTAATAGAATCGTTTGCAAAATATACTTCGCCATGGAGATTCTGGATAGGCCCACAATTAGTCCTAGCATTTGATGAACCTAAAGATTTGAAGGTAAGATTCATAAGATTTAATGACACTTTTTACAACTCGCTTAGATATGTTTAATTTTTGTTTATTATTTGTATATTATATTTTTGTCATGATATGTTTATTTTATTTAGATTATATTAAACAAAGATTCTGAATTTGAGAAAAGCCAGTTATATGACTTTTTGAAACCTTATATCGGTAATGGGTTGCTTACTGCTCCAGGTAAACTATACTTTAAGGTTTCCCTTTTCTTTTATTACTAAATATTTAAGAAAAAAGAACATTATAATATTAAAGTAAAAAATTATCTCTTATTTAAAGTGTCAATATGGGATAATCATCGTAACATCATAAATTCAACATTTAACCACCAAATGTTTCCAATTTATACGGACGTAATTGTAAAACATTCAATCAGACTAAATGAGATTTTAGAAACTAATAATGGAAGAAATATAGATATTTTGCATTATGTTCATCTGTGTACGTTAGACACAATATATGGTGAGACATGAAAATTCTAAAAAGTTTCAAAAATATGTATTGACATATTTAAATTTATGAAAAATTAATTTTTTTTGTACTGACAGATGCTCTATTGGAAAATGATTTCAATTTACAAAATAATCCGAAAAACAAACTTCAGAAATATATTACTGAGTAATAAAAAACAGAATATTTACATACTTGTAATATTAGGTTGTTCTGAAAGTCGTTTTGTTTTTTGCTGACGCAATAATTGCATTTGTTGATGCAAACCGACAAATAGTAACACATGAGATCGATGAGTGGTTAAATTTATCAAATTCAACTATTTATGACCACTTGAAAGGTTTAGGTTTAACCACGAAGAAAAAAATTATCTTCATTTTTACAAAAAAAAAAAAACGAAACGACTATACGAACCACCTAATATAACGTAATCTTAATTTATTTTTATTTACTTTGAGATTTTTATTCTTTATCTAGAGCGATGGATTTAATTATGCAACGGATTATGAAAATTTGGCTACATCCCAATGTTATCTTTAACAATTTATCTATAGGAAAGAGATTAAAATATAATATATCATATCTTGATAATATCACAAACGAGGTAAATATAAAAAGATCATACTTATTTTAAATTGTCTTTTTTCTTTATCAATATTTCATAGCTAAAACAAAATAAAATCTCACTCATATGCATAACTTTCATCCGTCAAGATCATTAAAAAAAAAAGGAAATCAATAGAAGAAGGTAAAATTCTTCGAAAATCAAAAGAACTAAATGAAGGTAAGAATAACAAATTTATAAAACATTGTATTGTTAAAAAATTTATTGAAAGTAAGCTTTTATAACAATACTAAGCAATATATTATATATTTCTGATAATAAAGAAGATAACAGATATTCACTTCTCGATATACTATTTAAATCATTTTACGTGAAAGGGGAAATTACCCAGCAATACATGCGAGATGAGATAAATACAATGCTTATAACAGTAAGTATAGTCTATTTAAGATTGACGATAATTGCTTATTATTAATTAAAAACAAATAAAAAATAATTTATATTACTTTATAGGGAAGTGAAACTACAGCTATTACAATGTCTTTTTTATTTTTAATGCTGGCCTCCTTTCCAGACATTCAAGTAAGCACGTATAGAAAATTTAAACATTATCTTATATTTAATCATTATCTTTTAAAAATCAAATGTATTTTTAAATAAGACTTGGATGATAAATTTGACTTTCCTGATTGCAGAATCGAGCATACGAAGAGTTGTACGATATGTACGGCTCAAGCGATCCGAAAGATGTTCCTATTAAATACAAAGATATTACTGAAATGGAATATTTGGATCGAGTAATAAAAGAAACCTGTCGTTTATTTCCTCCAGCTCCATTTGTTGGTCGAACAGCATCTACCGATATAAAAGGTATTTTTACATATAATCAAATATTTTTTATATATACATATTTTTTTCCATTGACATTATCTTTTTATGGAAGAATAATATATAATTATTTATCGTATCAAGTGAACGAGAATCTGGTAATACCGAGAAATAGCTCTTTGATATTTTCTATATTTACACTTCATCGTAAGGAAAAATATTGGACAGAGCCATTAAGATTTAACCCGGATCGTTTTTTGGAAAAAAATTATGATTCGAAGTGTTTTTTACCATTTGGCTCTGGCAAAAGAAGCTGCATAGGTAATAATACATTTTTATGCATTCTAGAAATAATATTCTAATAAGAAGATTATCCAAGTATATGTTTATATTGGTTTATTATTATGTTTTTTAGGGAAAAAATTTGCCATGTTCCAAATTAAAACAATAACTGCTAATATATTAAGAAAATTTATTGTTACAATAGATCATCCAGTATCAGTTAAAGATGTTAATCTGAAATTCACCGTAACTTTGAATCCAAGGGAACCTATATATTTAAGATTTTACAAAAGATGATATTAATCATAACTGTCAATACTATGTTCTCCAGAGAACAATTATAATAATTAACTGAACAAATATAAAAAAAATTTTAAATACTATAAATTTTTCCAGTTTTTACTTAGAATATCGATATTCATAATATCTATTATAAAAGATGCAATATCAAAAACAGGCTGAAAAATAAACACATAAAATAAAAAGAAAATCATGTGTGCAGATCACACATCTTAGCAGTGAAACCTTCAAAAATCTAAGTTTTGATAGAATCAGACGAATGCACAGTTTCAAGAGTAAGATAATTTGTAGGATTTATTTATTAAAATATCATTACCATATATATACCAAAGGGCACCGGTTTGATCTCTGGGTGGAATAGTTGATAAAAACTACACTTTTCTTTGGACAAATTTTTTGAATTTGTTCAAGCTATAAAAATGGAATGCTGAATGCGAATATAATTCGTCGTAAAATAAGTAAATATAAAATATCCTTTTTGTGAAACTCATGTATAATATTTTATTTGTTAGTATAGTTTCCGATTTCTCATTTTCATCTAAATTTTTGCGCTGTTTTACAAACATTTTAGGAATGACGAAATAAAGATGTTACGAAAAACATATGGAAAATACTGCTGAACTAAACGTTCAAGTACTAAAGGTTCTAGTTCGAATGCAATGAGAGTTCTAATAGAGATCTTTTCGAGAAATGCTTTTTCAACTACATAATGTGCCACATTTCTCTCTCTCTCTCTCTCTAGAGACCCTTATTATTTATAACATATTTCGTTTTTATTCTTTGAACCACAAACTTATCTTCTCTAAATACTCTCGTCTAAATAAAGATCTGAACAACAAAAATATAAAGAACGCATTAAATCGTATCGTTCTATCAACTTATCGAACTGTGTACACTACAAGTCTTAAATTTGAACCACATGGTAAACTCCACCGATTCACGCTTGGCGTTCAGTGTATTAAAATGTTTTTATTTGATTAGAAAATTAGTAAATAAGTTTCCTAAATATGCAAATATTATAATTAATAACATAATTTTCTTATATATATAAAAATCAAACTGAATAGACATATTTTGATCTTTATGAATCAAATATATTTGATGAAGAAGCAAAATAAAAATCTGCCAATAATTTACTTGCTTTGTCAGCTGCTTCTAAATTCCTTGAAAATGAGCGTTTTAACGTTAAATTCTTAAAAAACTTTAACTAAATTATGATAAAACATGTGTGCAGATCTTGTTCTGCTTTCTTTTTATATGGGTTTTTTTTCGCATCGTTTTCTAACCTCTTGTCATTTGTCTCATTATCATAATTTATTCCAACATTTTATCTTTTTAACGTTTTTTGAGTTTATTAGACTCTGCGGATTCGTTAAGTCACGTTAACAATCTTTGAACATAATCTAATGAGTTTTTGGAAATCGATATATTACATGTAGCCTTGATTAGTTGCCTCTTTTTATGGAAACCACTAGAATTTTGTTTTAATGATTACTTGTCTTAACTGCTAAAAAATGATATTATTTGCCATTTACTCGAAATACTTGCATTTTTTCTAACTAGCCTCGCAGTTGGGCTACTGCGCGTGAATCACTAGTATAACTGGTAATAGTTAGTGTGGAAAAGGTAGTGTGTCATAACAATAACTATAAATCTGTAAACATTATGAGGGGTTGTTACTATTATAACAATAAAGTATGCATAGCTTAAGATTTTGTTTCTAAGATAATCATCCTTTTATGAAACCTAATATATAAGAAAAAAGACTTTTAACGGTAATAAATATTGAAATATTTTTAAAGTGAAAACTTCTTTAGAATAGGGAGTGATTTGAAAAAAATGCAACACGGTCGGTCAGGAAACGGAGCGGTAGGCGGCTAGGCAACGGCTACGATATTTAGTAAGAAGAGAAATAGAGACAATATACAGTATTTTTCCTATTCTCGGTCTCCTCTTTATGCTATGCTTCGTAGTTATCGCTCCTGGTTATATATGTGTGGGTTTGTATGCGACTGCATACTACGAAGCGTGGACACATATTATTTCGATACTCAAAATGTTTGTGTAGGTAGGAGCAATAGAAAGGTAGAAGAATAAACAGAGATAAGCACGTAGGTATGCGACAAAAGTATAAGGTCCAAACGAACCGACGGTCGAAATAAAGAAAGAAGGTGCGTGGTCTGTTTTTATTTTACCAAAAACGTCGTATTTCTTTTCTATTTAAAAATGTTTCTATTTTATTGAAAAATTAATATTAAATTCTTTATTTCGCAAATATTGTAATTGACAATTACGAAATATATAGAATATATAATAATTGTATTGTCTGAAATATTTTATAAAAAAAAAATTGATTACTACATACATCAGAGAAAAAGAATTAGACAACCCTGTAGAATACATTCGGAGCAGCTGACAAATTCCATTCAAAAGCAAGTAAATTACTGTCACATTTTTATTTTTCGTCTTCATAAAACATATTTGATTCATAAAGACAAAATATATGTCTATTAAATTTGATTTTTATATGTTTTTATAAAAAATATACAAAGATTTGTTTTGACCCAGGAATATAAAAAAATTTTATTATTAATTATAATATTTACGTTATAAAGAAATTTACGTTAATTTTTTAATCAAATAAAAACATTTTTAACAGGCTGAACACCCTGCGTGAGCCGGTGGAGCTTACCACGGGGCTGAAATTTGAGACTCGTAGTGTACACAGTTCGATAAGCTCAGAGAGCGATACGATTCAATGCATTTTTTAGATTTTTCGTTGTTCAGATCTTTATTTAGACGAGAGTATTTAGAAAGATTAGTTTGTGGTCCAAAAAATAAAATATGTTATAAATAATAAGGTTCTCGATGTGTGGCAGGCTGTAGTGTTGAAAAAACATTTCTAGAGAATATCTTTATCAGACCTCTTATTACATTTTACCAGTACCTTTGTTCAATCCAGCAGTATTTTCCATATGTTTTTCGTAACGTCTTTATTTCTTCTATCCTAAAATGTTTGTTAGACAGCATATGAATTTAGATGAAAACGTGAAATTGAAAAGTATACTAACCAAAATAATTTTATACCTGAGTTTCAAAAAAAGGATTATTTATATTTACTTAGTTTCCGACGAATTATATTTCCTTTGATAAACATCCTACCATTTTGGTGATTATTTATAACTATCGCACTCAGCATTCCATTTTTATTGTTTGAATTTGGAAAAGTGTAGTTTTTATCAGCTATTCCACCCAGAGACCATACCAGTGACCTTTATTATATATGGTAATAATATTATAATAAATAAATCTTACAATTATCTTACTCTTGAAACTGTGCATTCCTCTGATTCTCTCGAAACTTGGACTTTTGAAGGTTTCATTTCTAACACGTGTGATCTGCACACATTTTTAACATATGTCGTTTATTTACCAATGGTAAAGTTTTAAAACGCCATAATTTGATTTTATAACTTATGTAAGGTATATATTTGGATATTAGAAATTGAAAAATTGAACAAATAACAAGTAAGTAACATAAGTACTGTAAATCTAAAGAAAAAATTTATTAATTTTTATTTATTATTTTTTAATTACACAAAAGTAAATTATTTATTAATAAAATGTAATATTACAATAAGTATGCTTACGCAACGATCACACCTCTCTCGCAGCAAATGAAACGAATTTAAGACAGAGAATGACTGACCAAATAAACGAAATTTTATTTTTTTCATTGCTAAGCAACGAGGTTTAAGATTTCTGCGAGTGTATTGGACATGTAGAAAAAAATCATTTCCGAGTATACATATAAGACAGCAGTAAACAGCCAAAAATTCTCCGAGCGCACTTTTACGTCCATAGTCTATATCGATGGTTTGCGTCGGACGCAAGGCCACACCAATATTTTTCACTGGACGCACATTTGCGCCCGTAGCAGTCAAAGGGTTAAGAAAGATCTAGATATTATTTATATCGTCTACATAAGAAAAATCTAGATGTTAGTTTTATCGTCTACAATAGAAGCAAAACTTTACGGAAATTTATTTTATTGAAATTTCTGATTAGGAAAGAACATTCGAACGTCTTTGTGCACTTTTTCAGAAGAAAATTAAAGATAACAGAAAAATTCATAAAATAAATACCAACACATATATATATAAAGAGAGAAAAAAGAGAGAAAAAAAGAAAAAGAACGTTTTGTGAGCTGATTATTTTGTCTGAGAGATAGAGATAAACTCCTGAGGGATCAAGGGATGAAAACAATTTCCTTGCGGGTTCTCCTTCAAGGGACGAAAACAATCCCAAGGAAGTACTTTTGTTACTCCCGTGTGTTTCCATTATGGTTCATTTCGTTCTTTTCCATTCCTTTCCTTTCCTTTTTTCCTTTTTTTCCTTTTATTTTACCTGTGTTATACATATCTCTTTTCTCATTTTATTTTCGTCGAAGTCTAATAACACAGAGGAAACTTATAAAGCATTTAGCAAATTCAAAGATAATTTATAGAAACAATCCAACACGGTGTCGCAAGCTGTTACTATCGTAAAATTCCTTTTCCTGGCAGTCCAGTGTCACTAAGAAAAAGAGAATAGAATTCTCTCTTGCAATACTGTAGAAAAGAAAATTTGAATAGTAGTAGTAGCCAGGTGCTACTAGAAGAAAGCTGACGATTCGTTAAACTAAAATAGAATAAAAATAAAATTACGAGAGAGAAAGAGAGATAGAAATTATTATGAATAGAAAAAATAAAAAAAAAATAGTAAAAAAAAGAATTGAAATATAGTATCTCATATAAGGAATTGAACCTAATAATCCTAAAGACTAAGAATGTGTGAGTGAAATAATCTTAAGAGTCTCTCGATTTTCGTGGATCTTGATCGTTGAGAATCGATCCGTACGGTTTAACCCCTTCCTTGGAAAGCTTTAGCAATGGATAGTCGTCTCTATCTGAATACTAATCAAGGAAGGAGAGAACAGCATCGAATCGACGTTTACG